TACTGAACTACTGAACTGAACTACTGAACTGAACTACTGAACTACTGAACTACTGAACTGAACTACTGAACTGAACTACTGAACTACTGAACTACTGAACTGAACTACTGAACTACTGAACTACTGAACTGAACTACTGAACTACTGAACTGAACTACTGAACTACTGAACTGAACTACTGAACTACTGAACTGAACTACTGAACTACTGAACTGAACTACTGAACTACTGAACTGAACTACTGAACTACTGAACTACTGAACTACTGAACTGAACTACTGAACTACTGAACTGAACTACTGAACTACTGAACTGAACTACTGAACTGAACTACTGAACTGAACTACTGAACTACTGAACTGAACTACTGAACTGAACTACTGAACTGAACTACTGAACTACTGAACTGAACTACTGAACTGAACTACTGAACTACTGAACTGAACTACTGAACTGAACTACTGAACTGAACTACTGAACTACTGAACTGAACTACTGAACTACTGAACTGAACTACTGAACTACTGAACTGAACTACTGAACTACTGAACTGAACTACTGAACTACTGAACTGAACTACTGAACTACTGAACTGAACTACTGAACTGAACTACTGAACTGAACTACTGAACTACTGAACTGAACTACTGAACTACTGAACTGAACTACTGAACTGAGTTTGTTTTGCATCAGCTGCTTTGTGAGGTCTGCTGCTGACTTGTTTCCATGGAAACCGGTGGTTGGTCTTCATGAACTCCAGTCCAGAATGGGGCCTCTTACTGGTGTTACTGGGAGGGCCAGAAAAGTCTTCACTCCCAGCTTCCACCCAGTATGAATCAGCTGGAACAGAACCTTCTGGTTCCCTCAGGAGGATGGTTCTGGCTGGATTCACTGGGAGAATCCCAGTCCTTCCAGTATGGAAGCAGAGCACCAGGCACGACTGTTTGGACCCTCGAAGTTTCAGCAGTGATCTATGATGTTGCTTCATGTCCGGTTTCATCGCCAAATACCACAGAACAAGACCTGTGTGGGCGGAGCCAGCGGTGGGTGGAGCCAGCAGTGGGAGGAGCCAGTGGTGGGTGGAGCCAGCAGTGGGAGGAGCCAGTGATGGGTGGAGCCAGCAGTGGGAGGAGCCAGCAGTGGGAGGAGCCAGTGGTGGGTGGAGCCAGCAGTGGGAGGAGCCAGTGGTGGGTGGAGCCAGCAGTGGGAGGAGCCAGTGGTGGGTGGAGCCAGCAGTGGGAGGAGCCAGTGGTGGGTGGAGCCAGCAGTGGGAGGAGCCAGTGGTGGGTGGAGCCAGCAGTGGGAGGAGCCAGTGGTGGGTGGAGCCAGCAGTGGGAGGAGCCAGTGGTGGGTGGAGCCAGCAGTGGGAGGAGCGCTGGCTCCTTGTAGAAGGAGCAGCTCCTCAATCCTCTCTGTTGCAACAAAGACCCTCTACGACCAGACAGAGCTCTCACTCTCAGAAGAACAGAGATGATGTCAGGTGTGATTCCATCAGCTGATTGGTCGTCAGGCTTTTCAGCCACCAGGGGTCAGAGGTCATCAGGCTTCGGCATGAAGGTCAGGACCTGCAGTGTTTGCTTTCAGTCAGAGTTTTTGGAAGAATAATCTGAGGATCAGGTGAAATGTTTTTATTTGTACTTTTCCATGTTGTTTCTCTGTCACAATGGAACCAGTTCAGTTCCACTGGTTCCCAGTCAGATCGGCGTCCGGCCCTGCATTCAGTTCATGTCAGGATTCAGCCTGCAGCTGGGATTAAATTTGCTCTCCTCTGGCTAATCCAGGAGCCGATTAGGGACAATCTGGAGCTGTGTCAGCGCTGAGGTTCCTCAGGGCTTCATCTTTGGTCCCTGTTGCTTCCTGTGCTCCACCTGGGCCCCTGCTGGGCTCCTCTGTGTTTCAGAACCCTTTTGTCTTCAACAGGCTCCAACATCCCTGAGCGCTTCTGACACCGACAGCTCACCTTTGTCCCTGACCTGAGCTTCCTTGCATATTTTTGTCTGTGACGATGTTGCTGCGTCTGACTGGTTGTTGTAGCTCGGCGCCGAAGCTCACTGGTCGGCCTCGGATGAATCAGGGCTCCTCAGATGGCCTCACCGATTGGACGACGCCAGCTGTCCGCCACTTAGCTCCGCCTACAGCCCGCCTCCACTGCACTCCTTGTGTGGACATCCTGCTGTGGCTCCACCCCCTGTCTTCATGCGCCCCTCCCCACCTGAATGGGACCTGCTCAGTCCTTCTTCGTCTCCGGCCTTCAGTGAGGCAGGTGAGTTTTTACCTGTGGCTGTTCTGGCCTGTGATTGGTGGAACCCTGAGCAGCTTGTCTCTCTGCAGAGCGACGTCAGTGTTTCAGCTGCGGGACCCACAGCGCCCTCCTGTGGAGGAAGGAGGCAGCGGGAACGCACCTGTGTTCCACCTGCAGCATCCGACAGCAGAACCCGCCGCTGCTGCGGCCCAAGAAGAGAGCGGTGAGGTCACACCTGCTGGCTACCATAGAAACAGATCCACCTGGGGGCGGAGCCAGAGCCACTTGCTGGAATTGTGACAAGGTTCTCAGAATAAACCCGCAGAACCTGGTCAGAATCGGGTCAGAACCGACCCAGTCAGACACTGCTGCTTCATCCAGACTGGAGCAAATTCAGCCCTCCTGCTGTTCAGCCTCCAGCCAGCAGGGGGTGCTGTGTTCAGGCGTCCTCAGCGTTCCGTCTCTTCCTGCTTCCAGGCGGCGGCCAGAAAAGGAACTCAGTGTTCCAACTGCGGGACGGGAACCACGTCTTTGTGGAGGAGAAACGCTGCAGGAGACGCCGTCTGCAACGCCTGTGGCCTCTACTACAAGCTGCACCAGGTGACCATCTTAGTAGGCAGTTGGTTTGGCAACAATAAACAAGCTACAAGCTCTTCTCTTATATCATTACAGCTTTGGCTGAGTTACAGTTTCTGAGTTCTCTGTGACACTAATATAAATGTCAGTGATATTTTCTGTAGTACTGACTGCTGAACTAGCAGCGTTAGCTTAGCTACTGCGCTTTTCTCTGCTAGCTAAGAGGACATATAGCCCTTGTGTTTCTACTTGTTCTCCGTCTGCCAGTCAGAAGAACCTCGTTGTTCACATGAACAATTGTCACATATTTTATATTTCTGTTTAAACGTTGATGGAAAGCGGCCATGTTGGATAAACTCTTCCAGTTCACCAGCATTGAGCTGCAGCAGCAGATCAGTGGCGGCTCGTCCACATCGTCTGACATGTTGCCGTTCTCCAGTCTCATCCGGGTCGATCCAACAGCAGCCATTTTGTTCCTGTCTCTTTCACCTTGTCCAGAGTTCAGCTTTGCGCTGCGCTGCCTACCAAGATGGCGGTTTTGTGGCGTGGATCTTTTCCAGTTTATTCTTGTGGGAGTTTTGTATTTTCATCACACAGAAATAATTAACTCTGACCAGAGACGTTTGGAGTGGTGCAACATGTGACCTTTGACCCTTCTGCCTGCAGGCGCATCGGCCACTGGCTCTGAGGAAGGACGGGATCCAGACCAGGAAGAGACGATCGGCCAATCAGAGGCCAGGCAGGAAAGGAGCTGACCAATCAGGAACTTGGACTGGCCCTCTGTGGTGAACCGGACCGGTCCTGTGACCCGGTTCCTCTGAGGAAGATGATGATGATGATGTGGAATAAAGCATGTGAAGCTGGGCTCCTGTGTTTGGTTCTGTTCTGGTCCGTTTGGACCCTACTGGGCTGCCTTCAGGTGCATCGGCCGCCGGCTCTGACAAAGGACAGGATCGTCCTGCAGACAGTGAAGGCATCGCCCCCCCGCCGCCCACGTTGTGCAACGCAGGAGGTTCTGGTTTTCCGGAACCAGTCAGACAAAGCCAAGAAAGGAAAAGGGAGAAGAAGAAAACGGTTGGTGGTCTGAGGCCGAAACGCCTGAGAGGCGCAACGGACCCAACGGCGCCAGAGACCACAGAACACACACCTCACTGAACACACACCTCACTGAACACTGAACACACACCTCACAGAACACACACCTCACTGAACACTGAACACACACCTCACTGAACACACACCTCACTGAACACACACCTCACTGAACACACACCTCACTGAACACACACCTCACTGAACACACACCTCACTGAACACTGAACACACACCTCACTGAACACTGAACACACACCTCACAGAACACACACCTCACTGAACACACACCTCACTGAACACACACCTCAGAACACACACCTCACTGAACACACACCTCACAGAACACACACCTCACAGAACACACACCTCACTGAACACACACCTCACTGAACACACACCACTGAACACACACCTCACTGAACACACACCTCAGCAAGTCTTCGTTTTGGTTCTGGTCAGATTCCACTTTTAAAAACTGATCATTGTTATCAATATAGTGTCAGCTGATCAGACACAGAGAGGAGGGTCAGAAGTCAGAGAGTTTGTTAATCTGACTCAGATTAATAATCTAGATCAGATCCTGGCTGCTTTATTAACTTATTAAAACAGATCTGAATTATTGATCTGCAGAATGAAGATCATCAGCGGATCAATATCTGGATTGATTGATGGTAAAACTTCCCAGGTCTTCAAAGTAAATATTAAATATTATTGACATAAATTCTTCAGCTGAATTTATTTTCTCAGTGATTTATGGACATTAAAGATTTATTTCACTTATTCTGGATGTTTTTCAAACAAATCTCTAAAATGATTTTTCAATAATTTTTTTCCTCTATAAATAATTATTTGATTATCGATTCGTTTTGAATGAATCCATACTTCCAGAACAGTTCACGGTTCTTATTCCAGGACCTGGAACGTTCTGTTCGGATGGTTCTGGTGGTTCCGCAGAAGCTCCTCCTCCATCCAACAAACTTTCAACAAACCGATTAGCCTGATTGATTCGCAGACCCCAGTGCGCATGCTCAGAGGCGGGGCATGAGCGCCACGGGGTGCTGCTTTCAGGGGCGCCTCGGAAAGATAAGAAGAATAGTTTTATGGATTAAACGTTCCTCAGGTTCAACTGAACGTTAACCAAAGAGATGACGGTTTGTAATCTCTGCACTGATTGGTGAGCTCGTGCGTTCAGCTTCAGACCGGATGCAGTTAAAGACTGGGCTGGAGTCTGTGGATTCCGACAGCCCTGAAGGCAGCAGCGGAGTAGAGGAGGAGCAGCTGAGGGTCTCGGAGCGGTGAGTCCAGTTAAAGCCGTTTATTCCTTCTGGTTCGGGGCTTTATCCGGTCCCGGTCCCGAGCAGGTCGGACCGGACCTGCAGGGCACAGCGGGCCGGAACCGGGAGCTCCTGGGGCCGCAGCAGGAGCCCCACGCCGCCGCCGAGGGGCGAAACATGTCTGCTCCGGGGCCGCGCGCGTGCTTACGCGGGTCTAAGCGCGTGCACGCCATTGAGCAACAGGTAGAGCGCGTGCAGCGTGAGGTTCGGTCCGTCTCGGGTGGTTTCTGGGTTCTGCTTGGCTGCAGGTTCAGTCTGCAAGGTCCAACAGCTGCACGGTCCATCAGCGGACTGCAAGTCCCAAAATGCTTTGCGGGAATCCTGGGATGGTTTTCTGGATCCAGAATGAGATCCTGAAGGAGCGAGACGTTTCCGGTTCTGATCTCTGGTCCAAACTGTCAGCTCCTCCAGAAGTTCGGCTTACCATGACAACCAACCAGAGGCCAGCTGCAGAGCACGGTGGAGGCTCCGGCATGCTGTGGGCTTGAGTTAACCCAGCGCCACCTGGAGGCTCCGAGTTGCACGACAGCACTTCTTCTTCTCTGACATGTTTGTTTCTCCTCCAGGTGTTTTGATCAGTCTATTGATTGATACGGTGGCCCTGAGGTGCAAAACACAACAACATTAACCAAAACACAAAATAAGAGCCTGGTATTTAGACTCTATGACTGTTTGGCAGAGACACTATTTTAACTATTATTTAAACTATAGTTTTTAGTTTTCTGTAGCTAACTAAAATACTAAATTAAAAATACATTAATCAAAATTAATTAATATAACTAGTGAGGTTATAATTCAAAGCATTCATATGACATAGCCTACTTACATTTCAGTCATTATTATTAAAGGTTTTTCTCATATTCTTACCACACATTTCAAGAAGAGCTGGGAGAAATAAAACATTAGAGGGCAGCATGTCACTAAAACATGTTAAAAGAATCTGTCTAAAACACGATCTACCAGCACTAGCATGGCTAATATAATAAACCAGGCACTATGCAGCGGTACACAACCATTTTGTTTCTTTTTAGAAATGTATGACAAGAGCCGCCTCTCATTAGGAAGGTAACAGCGGTTACTGCTGAGCGGTAAAATGTTGGAAATACCTGCAAAACTCCTGACGGTGTAACTCTAAAGCCGTTGATGTGTTTTGGATCAAGCAGGAACCAACATGTCAGTTTAACCAATGAACAGCGTCGGGCATCGGGCTGCCTTCAGGGACAGTCGGAAATTACACTTTTCCTGGCAAATCTTTGCCGATCTCATAAGTATTTTATTTTAAAATGACCATTTCCAGTGGGGTGGCAGTAGGGGGGGCCAGGGGCCTGTTGGTGGTGGCAAGTGCCACCCCGGCCACCCCTCTGGCTCCGCCACTGAACTAAATGACAGTGGACACGGTCTGGAGACCACTAGTGTTAGCAAGTTACTACATCCATAAGAAATATGAATCTTCCTTTATGCTTTTTAACTTACTTGAACATTGTGGAGTATCCTCCATACAAGTTTCTTGAAGCCTCTTGCCACAATTACTGCAAAAGTTTGGTGACGGCTCAACCAGCTCCTTTCCACAGTTCGGGCAATACATGGCGAAGTGACTGTATTCCCGCTTCCTTAGGTTCTCATTCAAACGAAGCACTCCAGCAGAACTTCCGGTTCAAAAGTAAAACGACCTGTCGTCCAATCAGCGACTTCTTAGGTCTCCCACTGGGACCTACCTCTTCCGTTGTGTTTTCCTTAATGTTGTTGTGTTTTGCACCTCAGGGCCACCGTAGATTGATGATTTGCAGCTCATCAGCTGATTGGCTCATGTTAACAACCAAGCATGGACTCTGAGGCCACGCCCTGAACCGCAGGACTCATCCCGATTGGCCATGGTAGCAGAGGGGCCGCCTCATCCTAAGATGGAGCAATTGGACGAGCTGAGCTTAGGGGCGGGGCTTGAAGTAGCAGGTGAGACGGACAGCGGCAGGTGTGTGTGTGTGTGATGATCAGCTGATGGTTGAATCGGTTGTTTGTGCAGAGGAAGCAGGACGTGGTGAGGATCCTGAACCGGCCATGGTTCAGCCGCCGGACGCCATGACGATGGAACAGTGCTGGAGGCGACAGTTCCCGGACCGCCGGCGCTGCTCGGTCGTCCTTCTCAGGCTTCCTGCGGAGACGCTGCGGCTCTGGCGGCGGGGCGGTGCAGAGAGGAGGCGGAGCCAGCGGGTCAGGTCACGTGACCTGCGGTCCGGCTGGGACTGGATGGAGCCGCTGGACCTGGAGAACGGCGGCGCCGGAACCCGAGACTTTGTCAAGAAGGTGGAGGTGAACGCCCCTGAAGATGACCCTGGGAAACCCCAGAGCCTACTGCGACTGAAGCAACGCCTGGAGCCGCCCTCCGACCCCGCCCACCCAGATGATGGTGCCGCCCTGGGTGAGCCGCCGCAGAGCGACCACACCTACTGCATGGGCTTCAATACACCTGAGAGCAGCAGCCAATCACTGGAGGACAGGTAAGAGTGGGAGGAGCTTTCTCTCAAGGCTACAAACTCCATGTTTGTTTTTCTGTGCATTATTTTTCTAGCCATGATGCTGGACATTAAATACTGACTAAACTTTTCACATTCATAAAACATAACAAAGCAGGTTGAGAAATGAACAGAGGCTGTTGAAGCTTTTAGTGATCAAACTGCCAGAACCGGCTGGAACCGGCCCGAACGGGCCGTGATGATTGGTGCCAGTGGTTCTCATCGTGCTGTAACGGTTCCGTGTTTCTGTCATAGCGACTCGTTAACTTAAGAACGTTCTGGATCCACACCGGACAACTGCTATGGCCGCCATCTTTTTTTCTGGGTCTGCTTGAGGATGAGCGACAGCGCCCTCTGCTGGACGCCGACTAAACTACAGCACTGAAAAGCGGTTGTTAATCGATTGGAACTGATTTTAAGTCAATAAATCATCAATGGAGATAAAGGTGACTCCTGAATGCATCACCAGAGGGCAGTGAGAGGAAACACAGCAGTTCTGGTTCTGGTTCTGGTTCTGGTCGGTCCTTCTGGACCAGAGAACAGATGCTGTTCTCCCCTCCGTCGCCTGACCTTTGACCTCAGTGTCTCTTGCAGGCCGCCGTCCCCATTGTCCAGCTGGTCAAAAAGAGACGGAGACGGCCGCTGCTCACCTGCAGGTAAGTCACCTGTGCTCCCGTCTGACTGTTACCATGGAGACCGGATAACAGGCTGACTCTTCCTCTTTGCTTGTTTCTGATTCCAGAGAAGAAGAAGAAGAAGAAGAACGTGCCGAGTGTGGTGCTGAGGAAGGTAAGGGCTGAGTGTGTGTGTGTGAGGCTCAGTGTGTGTGTGTGTGTGTGTGTGTGTGAGGCTCAGTGTGTGTGTGTGTGTGTGTGTGTGAGGCTCAGTGTGTGTGTGAGGCTCAGTGTGTGTGTGAGGCTCAGTGTGTGTGTGTGTGTGTGTGTGTGTGAGGCTCAGTGTGTGTGAGGCTCAGTGTGTGTGTGAGGCTCAGTGTGTGTGTGAGGCTCAGTGTGTGTGTGTGTGTGTGTGTGTGAGGCTCAGTGTGTGTGTGTGTGTGTGTGTGTGAGGCTCAGTGTGTGTGTGTGTGTGTGAGGCTCAGTGTGTGTGTGTGTGTGTGTGAGGCTCAGTGTGTGTGTGTGTGTGTGTGAGGCTCAGTGTGTGTGTGTGTGTGTGTGAGGCTCAGTGTGTGTGTGTGTGTGTGAGGCTCAGTGTGTGTGTGTGTGTGTGAGGCTCAGTGTGTGTGTGAGGCTCAGTGTGTGTGTGAGGCTCAGTGTGTGTGTGTGTGTGTGTGTGAGGCTCAGTGTGTGTGTGTGTGTGTGTGAGGCTCAGTGTGTGTGTGTGTGTGTGTGTGAGGCTCAGTGTGTGTGTGTGTGTGTGTGTGAGGCTCAGTGTGTGTGTGTGTGTGAGGCTCAGTGTGTGTGTGTGTGTGTGTGAGGCTCAGTGTGTGTGTGTGTGTGTGTGAGGCTCAGTGTGTGTGTGTGTGAGGCTCAGTGTGTGTGTGTGTGTGAGGCTCAGTGTGTGTGTGAGGCTCAGTGTGTGTGTGTGTGTGAGGCTCAGTGTGTGTGTGTGTGTGAGGCTCAGTGTGTGTGTGTGTGAGGCTCAGTGTGTGTGTGTGTGTGTGTGTGAGGCTCAGTGTGTGTGTGTGTGTGAGGCTCAGTGTGTGTGTGTGTGAGGCTCAGTGTGTGTGTGTGTGTGTGTGTGAGGCTCAGTGTGTGGTGTGTGTGTGTGAGGCTCAGTGTGTGTGTGTGTGAGGCTCAGTGTGTGTGTGTGTGAGGCTCAGTGTGTGTGTGTGTGTGTGAGGCTCAGTGTGTGTGTGTGTGTGTGTGAGGCTCAGTGTGTGTGTGTGTGTGTGTGTGTGAGGCTCAGTGTGTGTGTGTGTGTGTGTGTGAGGCTCAGTGTGTGTGTGTGAGGCTCAGTGTGTGTGTGTGTGAGGCTCAGTGTGTGTGAGGCTCAGTGTGTGTCTCTGTTCCAGGTGACAGGTGATCAGTGGGTCCTCAGGACTGGATCTGTTACAGACGAGGAAGTGGAGGATGATGAGAAAGTTCAGGTGAGGCATAGGGTCATCTGGAAGTCATGTGACCATCTTTTAAGCAGCGTGACCAATAGAATCTCCTGTGCCCACCATGTGACCGGCTGCTGCCCTGTGATTGGCTGATTAGATGAAGGACAAGAAGAGAGACGAGACGTCAGCATCAAGACAGAAGATGGTGAGGAGGATCAATGGCATGATGCCGTTTTGTGCCGCTGCATAATGCCGTTTGCGCCGTTTTGTGCTGCAGCGCCGCCAGGCCTGTCGGAGCTGCCCTGCGTGTCTGAGGGAGAACTGCGGCGTTTGCACGTTCTGCCGCGACATGAGGAAGTTCGGCGGTCCGTCCCGCATGAAGCAGAAGTGTGTGAGGCGGCGCTGCCTGCTGCTGGTGAGTCCAGTACCGGAACCGGAACCAGAGCCGGGTCTCTGCATAGAACCAAACCTCCCTCTGCTTTGTCCTCAGAACGCCCAGAAACAGCCGACCAAGCAAGAGACCCGACCCGGAGACGACACGGTCTGTCCGGGCACCTGGCAGGACGGCGTCCGCCGCTGGAGACACGAGACGACGGCAGGAAGGCGAGAGGTAGGGGTCTGCCGGTTTCCACTGCGGTTCCGACCCGCGGCTCGGTTCGTCCGGATCTCTGAGTTGGTTTGTGTTCAGGAGATGAGGAAGAGGATGTGGATGAAGAGGAGGAAGAGGAAGAGGGGCGGAGCCTCCGAGACCCGGAACGGCTGGATCGGTCCGCTGATGAAGAGCGAGGAAGAGGAGACGCCATTGTCCCACTGTCACCAGTTCACTGGAACCAGTGGGACCAGTTCAACTCCGACTGGGACTCACCTGCAGGTATAGACTTCCTGTCCTCTGACCCGGTGGTCCTGACCGGTGGTCCTGACCTGGTCGTCCTGACCTCTGTCCCAGTGGAACCTGACCCTGGACCGCGCCCACCTGTCCTCCGCTGTCCTCTCTGACTCCGCCCTCTCCTGTTGTCTGGCCTGTTGCCTCAGGTAGGGCTAGCTGCTGACCGCTCACCGTTTCCATGGTAGCAGTCATCTGAGCGTCTCTCTGTCTCCAGGACGGATCCATCCTCCAAGTCTCCACAGGCCTCACCTTCATCCCTCCTCCTCTGCCTCACCTTGCTGCCATCCAATCGCCAGAGGCGAAGGAGGAGGAGCAGCCAGTCAGCATCGAGCTTTACGGCAGGGAGGCGGAGCTTGGACCGGGACGTCTGAGGAGGGCAAGTTCTACGAAGTGGAGGTGGAGCTGCTGGACCCCGAGTCCGACCAGAACGTAATGACATCATCACCGGGAAGCTCTGACATCACCGCTGACATCACTGCTGACATCACTGCTGACATCACCTGCAGTCGGCCGGACTTTATATCGTTGGTCGGTGGAGCCACCGTCATCTGCTGATGAAACCGGGCCGGTCCGACCACTAAACCGTTCCCCTCTGCTTCCAGGAACCGCAGGGGTTCCTCCTGTTTGGGGGCGGAGCCAGCCACGCAGGGGGGCGGGCCTTGTTCCGTCTGCTGAAGGCGCTGAGGAGGACGGTGCTGCCGGCGCATTGGGTCGCCGTGATGGCTGCAGGACCGGAGCTGCAGCTGCTGCAGTGCTGCAGGGTAGGTTGCTGCCGCCGACTCTCCTCACATCTCTCCTCACGTCTCTCCTAACTTCTCTCCTCACGTCTCTCCTAACGTCTCTCCTCACGTCTCTCCTAACTTCTCTCCTCACGTCTCTCCTAACTTCTCTCCTCACGTCTCTCCTAACTTCTCTCCTAACTTCTCTCCTCACGTCTCTCCTAACGTCTCTCCTCACGTCTCTCCTCACTTCTCTCCTAACTTCTCTCCTCACTTCTCTCCTCACGTCTCTCCTAACGTCTCTCCTAACGTCTCTCCTAACTTCTCTCCTAACTTCTCTCCTCACTTCTCTCCTCACGTCTCTCCTAACGTCTCTCCTCACGTCTCTCCTAACTTCTCTCCTCACGTCTCTCCTCACTTCTCTCCTCACGTCTCTCCTAACTTCTCTCCTCACGTCTCTCCTCACTTCTCTCCTCACGTCTCTCCTAACGTCTCCTCACGTCTCTCCTAACTTCTCTCCTCACGTCTCTCCTAACTTCTCTCCTCACGTCTCTCCTAACTTCTCTCCTCACGTCTCTCCTAACTTCTCTCCTAACTTCTCTCCTCACGTCTCCTCACTTCTCTCCTCACGTCTCTCCTACGTCTCTCCTCACGTCTCTCCTAACTTCTCTCCTCACGTCTCTCCTCACTTCTCTCCTCACGTCTCTCCTAACTTCTCTCCTCACGTCTCTCCTAACTTCTCTCCTCACGTCTCTCCTCACTTCTCTCCTCACGTCTCTCCTAACTTCTCTCCTCACGTCTCTCCTAACTTCTCCTCACGTCTCTCCTAACTTCTCTCCTAACGTCTCTCCTCACTTCTCTCCTAACTTCTCTCCTCACGTCTCTCCTCACGTCTCTCCTCACGTCTCTCCTCACGTCTCTCCTCACGTCTCCTAACTTCTCTCCTCACGTCTCTCCTCACTTCTCTCCTAACGTCTCTCCTAACTTCTCTCCTCACGTCTCTCCTAACTTCTCTCCTAACTTCTCTCCTCACGTCTCTCCTCACTTCTCTCCTCACGTCTCTCCTAACTTCTCTCCTAACTTCTCTCCTCACGTCTCTCCTCACTTCTCTCCTCACGTCTCTCCTCACTTCTCTCCTCACGTCTCTCCTAACTTCTCTCCTCACGTCTCTCCTAACTTCTCTCCTCACATCTCTCCTAACTTCTCTCCTCACGTCTCTCCTAACTTCTCTCCTCACATCTCTCCTAACTTCTCTCCTCACGTCTCTCCTAACTTCTCTCCTCACATCTCTCCTAACTTCTCTCCTCACGTCTCCTAACTTCTCTCCTCAACATCTCTCCTCACTTCTCTCCTCACGTCTCTCCTAACTTCTCTCCTCACATCATCTCCTAACTTCTCTCCTCACGTCTCTCCTAACTTCTCTCCTCACGTCTCTAACTTCTCTCCTCACGTCTCTCCTAACTTCTCTCCTCACGTCTCTCCTCACGTCTCTCCTCACTTCTCTCCTCACGTCTCTCCTCACGTCTCTCCTCACGTCTCCTAACTTCTCTCCTCACGTCTCCTAACGTCTCTCCTCACTTCTCCTCACTTCTCTCCTCACGTCTCTCCTAACGTCTCTCCTCACGTCTCTCCTAACTTCTCTCCTCAGTCTCTCCTCACGTCTCTCCTCACGTCTCTCCTCACGTCTCTCCTCAACGTCTCCTAACTTCTCTCCTCAGTCTCTCTAACTTTCTCTCCTCACGTCTCTCCTAACTTCTCTCCTCACGTCTCTCCTAACTTCTCTCCTCACGTCTCTCCTCACGTCTCTCCTCACTTCTCTCCTCACGTCTCTCCTAACGTCTCTCCTCACGTCTCTCCTAACTTCTCTCCTCCGTCTCTCCTAACTTCTCTCCTCACGTCTCTCCTAACTTCTCTCCTCACGTCTCTCCTAACTTCTCTCCTAACTTCTCTCCTCACGTCTCTCCTAACTTCTCTCCTAACTTCTCTCTCACGTCTCTCCTCACGTCTCTCCTCACGTCTATCCTCACTTCTCTCCTCACGTCTCTCCTAACGTCTCTCACTTCTCTCCTAACTCTCTCCTCACGTCTCTCCTCACTTCTCTCCTAACTTCTCTCCTAACTTCTCTCCTCACGTGTCTCCTCACGTCTCTCCTAACTTCTCTCCTCACGTCTCTCCTCACGTCTCTCCTCACTTCTCTCCTCACGTCTCTCCTCAATCTCTCCTCACGTCTCCAGCTGTCCTCCATGAGGGACGCCATCGTCACGTCCAAACGGATCGCAGCTTCCGGGTCAGCGTGCGGTCCCGCCTTCTGCCCGACGGCCACCGCCTCTACAGAGAGTGCGCACACAGAGTTGCTCACCTGAGCCAGGTAACAGCATGTTGGGTGGGGCCTATGGTTTGGCTCCGCCTCTTCCTGATCTCGTTCTGACCCGAACCCGTCCAAGTTATGGATCAGAGATTAGTTTCCTCTGGCAGAGCATCAAGTCCGCAGCACTACTCCTCCTGACCAGCAGAGGGCAACAGTGAAGAACTGTCCAGCAGAAGCAGCTCCTGCAGGCTGATATCGAGGGGAACAGCGCCCCCTCTGGTCATTCAGGCCCGGTGCCGGTCTTCATAAAATCAAAATATCTCCACCTGAATTCTAACATGCCAATAGGGGGCATCTGCTTCACCTGGGGTCAGGGGTCACTCTGTTAGCTGCAGGATGCTAATGATGCTAACAGCTGTGTCTGTGTGTGTGTCTCAGTTGGTGTCTCTGCTGCTGGATCTGGAGCGACTCGCCGTCTGCCGTGGCTGCAGGGTTCAGGCGGCGTCCCGTCAGCTGCCGCTCCGCTCCCCAGACTGCCACCTGCTGGTGACTCGCCCTTCCACACCTGCTTGCCGTGCTGGAAGAGGAGGAGGAAGAGGAGGGTGAAGATGAAGATGGAGCAATGGTGGAGGAGTTTCAGTCTTGTTAAAGTGCCTCACCATGTTGAGCTGGGGCTTCTGGGTAATGGAGTCCAGCAGCTCCAAACGTTTCTACCTCAGGTTTTACTACTGAACCGTTAATCAGAACTGAATCCGCTCCGGTCCGGTCCGGTCCGGTACTGCTGGGTGTTTCCTGCTGTTTTCCTCTGAATGTTTCTGTGGGCCTAAAGAGATGTTTCTACTTTTGATACGTTTATAAAGAGTTTTTCAGAAACGTGCCAGTGTGCTGTCTTTGCTTCCTGAAGGAGAGTGGATCCCTGCCAGGGAACCATTAGGGAACTATCAGAGGCCCAGCAGGGAACCATTAGGGCCCTCCTGCCCTCTGCTGGTGGTTCTGTGATACTGAGAAAATTGAAGCAGAAACAGATTGTTGAAGTCGCTGTTCTCTCAGCTTAATCATTTACATAAATGAGTTAAGGAGTATACTGTTATTTCTTCACACTGTGTCAAACTCGAGGCCTGCGGCCCAAATTTGGCCCAATGTAATTATTTCTGTGGCCCTCTGGACTAAACAGTTTGAAAAAGGTCTTCCTAATAAGTTGTGCTGCGTATTATCTAAATTTAATGAGATTTAAAGCTAATGTTTTAGCAACGTCTTAGCTGGTAGCTTTACCTTTACATTCTGCTGCTGCTGGCCCTTTAAAGATGTTGTTGCCATGGTAGCAGACCGTTCAGTGGTTCTTAAAGCTACAGTCACTGGCCAGCGTAAGGATTTAACCGTTTAATGACGAACAGCCACATTGCAGAATGTTTCCTTGGACTTTATTTGATAGAAAATCTGTGTGAGTGTGAGTGGGCGTGGCCAGTGGGCATCATGGAGGAGCATGGCGGACAGAATACAGGAAACAAACGAGGCACTTGTTCTGATCCGGAGCTGCAGGTCATCCTGTCGCTGTGGTTGCTATGGTGACGCTGGAGAACAGCTGGACCTGACATCAGTGTGTGTGTGTGTGTGTTGTGTGTGTGTGTGAGTGTGTGTGTGAGTGTGTGTGTGTGTGTGTGAGTGTGTGTGTGAGTGTGAGTGTGTGTGTGTGTGTGTGAGTGTGTGTGTAATTATGGCTCTGTTAAATCATCAGTTTCTCTTTTTACAAGCAAGCAGATCTTTTCATTTCTAATCATATCAATAATATATCAGATATCAATAATCATGTCAGGATCATTTACATGTTACAAAAATAAAAACTCATTCCGGTCGTATTCACATGCTGACATACGGCCACCAGGAGGCGCCGCCGTTTGCATACAGACTGGAGGAACCAAACATGCAGCAGGCTTAGTTGCCACGGTAACCGCAGTACAAGGCAGACACATGTCAGTATTGAGAATGAGGCATGATGGGGAATGAGGTGTGGCTCCGTCAGCAGGAGGCGGGGCTTCTCTCAGTGGCCAATCACAGAAGCCCTTGTGAAGCATAAACATCACTGCTGGCCAATCAGAGAGAAAGCCCATCTGCTAAGTTCCGCCCACTGCGCCTGCAGCCAATCAGAACTTGACTCAGCCGCTGTGGGCTCGGTTTCAGCCAGAGATCCCGCCCACTCCCCGGCTCCCTCCTCCAATCAGATTGCTCCGTAGGGGCCATGCTGGCGGCTGATTGGCTGACCTCCAAGAAGCTGGCTGGCGATTGGCTGTCAGATGGAGGCCCGTCATCACTCATGGGCATGAGGAAGGAGAACGCCGCCTGCGGAGCTGCAGCAGAGCTCCCATGATGCTTTGTGAGGCTGACAGTGTGGCTCCGCCCCCTCAGCGCCTCCTCTGACAGCAGGGACTCCCTGGGGAAGCTCCTGCTCCTCCTCTCCTCTCTCACCGCCTGATTCCTTTTCTTGTCCTGTCTTCTTCTCCTGTTCATCTCCTCTTCCTCCACCAGGTCCAGGTCCAGGTCAGGAGCTCCTCCAACTCCACTCCTCCCCCCCCCACCGCCTCCTCCCCTCCGCCTGCTGAGGGAAGCAGTTGCCATGACGGACTCCCGCTCCTGTGAGGAGGAAGAGGAGGTGTGCGCTCCTTCTTCAGGGCCTGATGGAGCAAAACAGAACAACGTCAGAACCAAAACCAGCTTGAACAGGAACATGTGACCTGATCACATGACTGAGGCTGGACTCCACGATGATGATGATGCTGAGGAAGAGATGGAAGGATGAAGACATGAAGGAGGAAGCAGAGCTACCAACCGCGAGTTCTCGGTTCGTCCAATCACGTAGAAGCAGGGCGCCCTGCCTGGAGTTGGTCATACAGAGAGAGAGGCTGGAGAGCTCCACTGAGGCAAGGAAGAGGAGGAAGAGGAAGAGGGAAAGGAGAATAACACTGTTAGCTCAGGATCAGGAGCTAACAGGCTAAAGACCCAGTAAACATGAGCTAACAGGCTAAAGACCCAGTTAAACATGAGCTAACAGGCTAAAGACCCAGTTAAACATGAGCTAATGTAACATAGTTAATACTGTACAGAATTCAACTTGTCTTTATTTCCAAGTTTGGGTTCAGGCGTAATGGGTGAAGCAGCACCCCCTCCTGGTGGTTGGCAACATTAACTATAGTGAACATAGATATCTTGTTGCCAGTTCATGAGAGGGGGCACGAGGTAGGTTCACTGGGAACATTGTAACGGTCCTGTAAAATGTTCTGTTAGATTGTTGCTAACGACGTCATCAGCAGCCAGAGGAGCCTGTTCAGTGACAGACTGCTGCTTCCCAAGTGCCGGACCAATAGATTCAAGAACTCCTTTGTCCCCACGCCTTCAGACTGTACAACTCCTCACTGGGGGGTCGGAGGTGACACAGGACAGAGGGAAGAAGGAGTAGTTTTTCTACAAATGTGAACTCCATATTTATCAGGCCAAACCATACAGTGCAATACCATATCACTGGTCAATCTATCCACCAAATTGCTATAATTTCCTTTTGTGTTGTATTTATATTCTTGTTTTGTATTTAATTTGTATTTTTTTGTATTTGTGTATGCTTACTGTGTGCCACATTTTTGCCTGTGAGCTGCTGGTAACTATAATTTCCTGAGGGAGTCTTCCCAAGGGATCAATAAAGTCAAGTCTAAGTCTAAGTCTAAGTCTAAAATACTATTCCTCGTAAGGTGCTGTACTGCCGGTGATGAACCTGGTCCCTGATTATTTTATATCCTGTTTCATACAGATAAACTACATCCTGTCTCCTGGTCCATATTCACACAACGCAGAGGACTGACGAAAAGCGATGATAATTAAAAAGGATACACTAACATGTTAATGACCCAGTAAACATGAGCTAACAGCTTAAAGTCCCAATTAAACATGAGCTAACAGGCTAATGACCCAGTTAAACATGAGCTAACAGCCTAAAGTCCCAATTAAACATGAGCTAACAGGCTAATGACCCAGTTAAACATGAGCTAACAGCCTAAAGTCCCAGTTTAAACATGAGCTAACAGGCTAAAGTCCCAATTAAACATGAGCTAACAGGATAATGACCCAGTTAAACATGAGCTAACAGCTTAAAGGCGCAATTAAACATGAGCTAACAGGCTAATGACCCAGTTAAACATGAGCTAACAGCCTAAAGTCCCAGTTAAACATGAGCTAACAGCTTAAAGTCCCAATTAAACATGAGCTAACAGGCTAATGACCCAGTTAAACATGAGCTAACAGCCTAAAGTCCCAATTAAACATGAGCTAACAGGCTAATGACCCAGTTAAACATGAGCTAACAGCCTAAAGTCCCAGTTAAACATGAGCTAACAGGCTAAAGTCCCATTAAACATGATCTAACAGGATAATGACCCAGTTAAACATGAGCTAACAGCTTAAAGGCGCAATTAAACATGAGCTAACAGGCTAATGACCAGTTAAACATGAGCTAACAGGCTAAAGTCCCAATTAAACATGAGCTAACAGCCTAAAGTCCCAGTTAAACATGAGCTAACAGGCTAATGACCCAGTTAAACATGAGCTAACAGCCTAAAGTCCCAATTAAACATGAGCTAACAGGCTAATGACCCAGTTAAACATGAGCTAACAGCCTAAAGTCCCAGTTAAACATGAGCTAACAGGCTAAAGTCCCAATTAAACATGAGCTAACAGGATAATGACCCAGTTAAACATGAGCTAACAGCTTAAAGGCGCAATTAAACATGAGCTAACAGGCTAATGACCCAGTTAAACATGAGCTAACAGGCTAAAGTCCCAATTAAACATGAGCTAACAGCCTAAAGTCCCAGTTAAACATGAGCTAACAGGCTAAAGTCCCAATTAAACATGAGCTAACAGCTTAAAGCCCCAATTAAACATGAGCTAACAGCTTAAAGTCCCAATTAAACATGAGCTAACAGGTTAATGACCCAGTTAAACATGAGCTAACAGCCTAAAGTCCCAGTTAAACATGAGCTAACAGCTTAAGTCCCAATTAAAACATGACCTAACAGCTTAAAGTCCCAATTAAACATGAGCTAACAGCTTAAGTCCCAATTAAACATGAGCTAACAGGTTAATGACCCAGTTAAACATGAGCTAACAGCCTAAAGTCCCAGTTAAACATGAGCTAACAGCTTAAAGTCCCAATTAAACATGAGCTAACAGCTTAAAGTCCCAATTAAACATGAGCTAACAGGCTAATGACCCAGTTAAACATGAGCTAACAGCCTAAAGTCCCAATTAAACATGAGCCCAACAGGTTAATGACCCAGTTAAACATGAGCTAACAGCCTAAAGTCCCAGTTAAACATGAGCTAACAGGCTAATGACCCAGTTAAACATGAGCTAACAGGCTAAAGTCCCAATTAAACATGAGCTAACAGGCTAATGACCCAATTAAACATGAGCTAACAGGCTAATGACCCAATTAAACATGAGCTAACAAGCTAATGATCCAGTTAAACAAGAGAAAACATGCTAATGTAAAGTGAAGTCATAAAAACATAGAAGCCATGATATCATCTGATCCTGATTGGATAAAAACTCGGATATACTTGATTCCTAGTTTTGATTCTGTTCAAAACAAGCATGTCTGCAGGATCCAGACAACAACCAAGTGAATCAGAACCACTGGACTCAGATAGACGGATCCCAGAAGAGGAGGAAGCTGCAATTTCTCCTCTTCTTCTTCCTGACTGGAGCCGACAGATTTAAACAGAACAAACAAAAAGTGAACAGCAGGAGAAGACCGTGCCATGCCTGTGACGGTCTGCTGTTTTTCAAGCTGGTGAACAGAACTGCTTCGAGTCTGAGTCTCACCATAATCTGGGACGTATCCGTTGCCTTTCTTGAGAACAGGTGGATCCGGTTTCCTCCTCTGCGGATCTGCTCCACCGCCTGACTGTGGGTCATTCCCGCCGTGCTGCCGCCGTTGATCTCAACCAGTGGTC